GCCCCCTCATACATACCTCCTTGCTGGCAGAGCATGAGAAACTTCAAAGTCCTGGATGTAGGGTAAGCACTACTGAGCAATGACTGAAATACCAGTGTGTCATCCACGTTATTCTCATACTACGAGCAAAACAGCACTGTACAACCTAAGATGAAGATTAACTATCCCAGCCAAAACTAGGCTATCACACTTTCTATTCATATCTGATAAGTATGGAGTAACTGGTAATTCCAAGGAGAGTGACTGAATATAAATTGATTCAATCCAGTTTATTTGGAAATAATTGATACGAAAAGGATGTGTTATGCAGTTTTAGCCTTGTCATATTCCTTACATTTCCTTTACAGTCTCAGAGGCCATCTATGTCCATGAAGAACAATGTAGCAAATGTTACATTCACTCATCATTTTTAACTAGGTCTGCAGCCTTCTACAGATTAGAGAAATTGACAGTCATTAACTAAATGTAGTCCAAGAGAGTTTTAGTTATATGGTCACATATGCTTTTTGTAGGGGATTGTTGTTTCATAAACCACATTCTTTCCTCTACATTTTTTGAAATGCAGCTCTGTTTACCAGACTTGGGTAAAGTCTGAGTTTTTGAAGACATTTTATGAAACTAATTTCTGCTGCATCTGCACCTTCACTTACCCCACATAAGGAAATTATGATTTTGCTTAAACTGTGAACTGAAATGAAAGCAGTTTAATAATCTTGGATACACAACTGACAGATACACTCTTCTGTGGGTTTAGAGAGTTGTGGTGAACGGTGTCACATCCAGTTGGTGGCCAGTCACTGGTTGTGTCCCAGGAATCAGTGTTGGGCCCAGTCCTGTTTAATATCTTTACTGATGATCTGGATCAGGGAATTCAGTCCATCAGCAAATTTGCAGATGACACCAAGCTGGGAGTGAGTGTTGCTCTGCAGGAGGGTTGAAGGGACCTGGACAGGCTGGATAGATGGGCCAAATCCAAAGACAGGAGGTTTAACAAGTCCCAGTGTGAGGTCCTGCACTTTGGCCACCACAATCCCCTGCAGTGCTACAAGCTAGGGACAGAGTGGCTGCACAGTGCCCTGGCAGAAAGGGACAGTGCCAGACTGACTAAGAGCCAGCAGTGCCCAGGTGGCCAAGAAGGCCAATGGCACCCCAGCCTGTATCAGGAATAGTGTGGCCAGCAGGACCACGGAACTCAGTCTTCCCCTGTTCTCAGCTCTGGTGTGACTGCACCTTGAGTGCTGTGCCCATTTCTGGGCCCCTCAGTTTAGGAAGGATGCTGAGGTGTTGGAGCGTGTCCTGGGAAGGGTAGCAGAGCTGGTGAAGGGTCTGGAGCACAATTCCTATGAGGAGCAGCTGAGGGAGCTGGGGTTCTTTGGCTTGGAGAAAAGGAGGCTCTGACCTTGTCACTCTCTACAACGCCTGAAAGGAGTGTGTAGCAGATGGGGGTCAGTCTCTTGTCCCAGGCAACAGCAACAGGACAAAATGACGCAGTCCTAAGCTGCACCAGGGGTGGGGTTTAGGTTGGACATTAAGAAGAATTTCTTCACAGAAGGAGTGATGGGCCATTGGAATGGTCTGCACAGGGAGGTGGTGAAGTCACCATCCCTGCAGTGCTATGGTCTAGTTGATAGGGTGGTGTTAGGTCACAGGCTGAACTTTGAATTTATAAAAGGGGGCTCAAGAGCCTTACCAGACATGCATAGAATCAGAGACTCATAACATGGTTTGGGCTGGAAGGGACCTTAAAGATGATTTTGTTTGAACCCCTCTGCCATTGGCAGGGAACTTTGCACTAGACCAGGCTGCTCAAAGCCCTGTCCAACCTGGCATTTAACAGGCATGCAGATGTTTTTGCTAATATTAGACTATTACTGATATTATTGTAGCTCACAGAAGTCCATGAAGGCATCAGAACTTCTCAGTTCTACATGCAAACAGAAGATAAAAGCCCAGCTTCCAGCAAAAGGCTATTAACTACATACTACCTCTGGTTCCTCTTCACTCTGATACTTGGAGTTTCGGGATCAATCCTACAAGTCTTGGAAACCTGCTCTTTCAAACTATTACCTTTCAAACTGTAGAGCTTTGAAGTTTTGAAGAGCTTCAAATCTGTGGCCAACATCTCTTTGTGGGTCAAGCATCTCCAAACCCACAACAGCCTCTGACTTGACTCGATAAAGTTGCCCTCCTTAAATCCTTCCCTGGACCTGTAATTATAAAAGGCTGTATCAAGATCAGAGACACAGCACATTTTTAGCTGTACTACTTACACTAACTGTCCCTGAAACTTGATCTAGACTTCTATATTCTACTGGTTTGTTTCAGTTATTGTTTGGGATGTGGGCTTTTTTTTTTTTTTTTTTTTTTTGTGGGTACTGCAAGAGATGAAGAATGATGGTGAACCAGATTAGGACCCCAATAAAAAACACAGACTACTTTTAACAGAGTCAGTACTAACATGGTTCACTTTGCCACTTAGTAGTACTTGCAAAGAGAGATAGAATGAACTTCAAATGGGAGGACAAGATTGCTTACACAAATAGCATCCCTAATGTCTCACCAAAAGACCCACATCTAAGTGCAACTTTTTTCTAACATGGGAAATACAGGGAAAATAGTCTCAATATGAGAGGCTCAAACGTAATTACTAAAATGTAAACAGACTAGTCCTCCAAGAGATTATAATATCTTCTGCACCAAAGAAGAAAAGTATTTCACTTGCTCCTTCCTTAGTTATTGCAGAAAACACCAAAATATGTTGCCCAGAGGGGTTGTAGATGTCCCATCCTTGGTAGCATTCAAGGTCAGGCTGGACAGGGATCTGTGCAACCTCATTTGCTTGAAGATGTCCCTGCTTATTGCAGAGGGGCTTGGACTAGATGGCCTTTAAAGGCTTCCTCCTACCCAAACTACTGCACTGAGAGCAAAAATACAAGGTTGCTGCTTTGAGTCATTACAAAGAGAGCAGCTGTGAGTGACTTTGATGAAAAATGTTTCTTCCACATAGACCTACCTGTCGATGGCTCTAGTCTGCTGAATTTTGCCATCAGTCATGACAGGGATGTAAGAGGGGATGAAACATTTCAGCTGCACACGTGGTATGTGGCAGCTTTCAGATGTCCTTGGGACAGGAACACCTCACAACTGTCCTGTGCAGGCAGAACCATGAGAGCATTTGCATGATGCAGGTTGTCAGCAGTCATCTGACCAACTCCGGAGAGCTTTTCAAGGGAGGAAGACACTGTATCCTTGAAATCAAACCCAGGCGCTTCTATGTAAGTACAAAAGTGTTGGGACTGCTCGTGGCAATCAGTGTTTTACTGCAGACCAATACAACACAGTCCTCATGTATTTCTGAAGATGCCTGAAACATCTAACACTAAAAAAATTATCGTCTTTTCTTTTTACAAACTCCTAACTGATCAAAATGGAAAGCCGGGAGTGGAAACACGACATTCCCAGTGAGATCTCCCAGCACTCGAGCAACAGCCCGGTATCTAGATGCCGGTACCCGCCCGGTCGATCTCAGCGTTGCCGGCGGCCCGCCGCCTCCCTCGTGACTTTATTCCGACAGAGCTCCTCAAAAAGCCGGTTTCAGGGCAGCACCCCGACCGGCCTCCCCTGCCCCGATGCCCCCGTTGGGGCGGGAGCCCTGAGGGCGCCGGGCTCGGGAGAGCGAGGCCGCCGCCCCTCGCGCTCCACTTCCGGGTTCCCCGCCGCGCCCCCGGGCGCTGACGTCACGGCGCGCGGACCCCGGAAGTGGAGCCAGCAGGGGGAGGTCGGAGCGGCTCGCGGCACTAGGCCCAGAGCGGCCGCACGCTCCCTGTGACGGCGCCGCGCGCGCCCCGCTCCGCCGGCG